TTTAGACGTCAGTTAAGCTGCCAGCAGGGGCATGATACCTAACATTAAGCTAGGGAGACACTGGAAATAGGTTTTTCAGAATATACCTTAGGGTATATTCAGGTAAGCCTGAAAAGAGAGTATTAAAAAGATCTCAGGAGATAAGAAAGACACTGACAAAAGAGGTTACATGGACTTAAATTAAACCAGTTTCTTAATTTCCTTGAATGTTGCTCCTGGTCACGCCACTCAGAAATCATCCCGAGACACACTCAAAGACTACGGGTACCATTTAGAAGCACCTGTCTTCGGCTAGGTACTTGATAAAGTGCTTTATCTACAAGATCACTCATTCTAAGGACAATCTTGCAGAAGTGGCATAGGATCAGCCGTCCCACAGATAAAAAGGAACAGGCTCAGGGAAATGAGTTAAAGGTCACATGGCCAGGAATAGGCAGAGCCAAAGTCTTTGCTCTTTCCACTTTGCAAGCCTGACTCCAGCCACAGATGTGTTTCCAAGATTTGTTTTTCTCTAGCTTTCACGCCCTCCCTGTCCCCGCTGAGCTGGAGGCCGCCAGTGGAACAAGTCAGGGCACTGAATATGAGCAGCAAGTCAATCTGGAAGTTCTTCCTTTCTCAATTTCCATGTGCTGCCTATCTCTGGCTTCCTGCCATTTGTTGAACTGTTTTGTTAAACGCTTAGATACGGGGTGACTGAGTAAATAAAGCATGTTCTATGGCAACCCTCAAACACTTAATCTGAACTTGCCTTTTACAGCCACACAAAATTTATGGGTTAATGGTTGCCAGGGACTGGGGGTGTGGGGGTGGGGGAGACATGGAAACGGGGAGTGACTGTTAACCGATACAAGATTTCTGTAGAGGAGGATAAAATGTTCTAGAATTAGATACTAGTGATGGTTGTATAACTATGTGAATATACTAGAACCAGAAGGTTGTACACTTCATGAAGGTGAATTTCAGGGCATGTAAGTTACATCTGAATAAAAGAAACTATAGCTAAAATCAAAGGATCAGATATTAACAAGGGTTAGCGAAGATGTGGAAAAATTATACCCCCATATATCGCTGGTATAGCCACTTTGGAAGGTAGTTTAGCAGGTCCTCAGAAGTTGAAGGAAGTATCGATTATGATACAGCAATTCTACTCCTATGCATGCATAACCAAAAGAGGGAAAATCTATGTTCATATGAAAACCTGTATGCTATCAGAGGAACACTATTCAGTATAGCCAAAAAGTAGAAACAGTCCAAATGCCCATCAGCGGACAAACAGATAAATGAAATGTGATATAGTTATTGCAGTGTTATTTTAATAGACAACAGAAAGAAAAATGTACTGACATGTGCAGGTACAACATGGATGGATTTTTAAAAAATTACACTAAGTGAAAGGAGTCGGCATAAAAGACCATATATTGTACGATTCCATTTATGTGAAATATCCTGAGGAGACAAATCTATAAAGAAAGTGGATTAGTGGTTGCCTGGGGCTGGCATGGCTCAGTGGAAAATGGGGTGTGACCGCTAATAGGTATGGGTTTCTTTGTATGATGAATGATGAAAACGTTCTAAAATTGACTGTGGTAATGACTATGCAGCTCTGGGAATGTACTAAAAATCAGTGAATTGTACATATTAAGTAGGTGAAGTATATGGTATGTGAATATCTCAATAAAGCTCTTAAAAAAATTAGTGGGGGAGAGGAAGGGCCAAGGGAGTGGGTGAGAGGGAATCTCCAGCCCGCTCCATACCCAGCGGGAAGCCTGACACAGGCTTGATCTCAAGACCCTGAGATCATGACCTGTGCCAAAATCAAGTGTCAGATGCTTAACTGACTAAGCCATCCAGGAGCCCAAGGGGTTAAAAATATATAGCTAATTTTCATTCCTTTTTAGGATATTTACTTAAAGCTATGACAGATTCAACTATAGTGAAAACCTGATGTAATGCAGCTTGAAACCCTGCTTAGCTGACTATATTACAGGGATTCAACTCTCTACAGGAAACAAAGTCTCATAATAATGACAACTGGACTTCTGTGAGGCGGAGTTCAAGGTTTTAGCAGGTTTAGAGAAGTGCTGCCTCCAGAAAGCCTGTAAATAATGACAGGTCTCCTAATACTATTCTTCTACTTCTTTTTCCAGCACCAGCTTTTGGATACACAAAAAATTATTACAAATTAAACTAGGTAAAGAGGCATAAGAGTAAATAAATTCACCTTAATAGGGGTACCCGGGTGGCTCAGCGGTTTGAGCCTCTGCCTTCAACTCGGGTCATGGTCTCAGGGTCCTGAGATCGAGCCCTGGTTCAGGCTCCCTGCTCAGCAGGGAGTCTTCTTCCCCGTCCCTCTCTGCCTGCCTCTCTGCCTACTTGTGATCTCTCTCTGTTAAATAAATAAATAAAATCTTCAAAAAAAATTCACCTTAATATATATTTTTAAAAAGTGTTGAGAGAGCACCTATCTATAAAAAACTTATTTCTAGGCTGGAATTGAGTATCACACTTTATATATCATTTCACATTTGAAAAGCTATTCCATTATTAGAAAAGTACCCACCTGTAAAATTTTGGAACTTCATTTACTTAGGATCTTAGAATTTTACAGTAATGAAAGAGCTACCACGCCCACGTCTAGACACCTATGCATGGACTCTCTGTGCTGTTTGTTTGGACACAGGGAATGGATTCGGGAGTGGCAAGATGAAGACATCTTTAGGCAGCTTTCCTCCAGCTAAAGAAGATGACATTGAACTGTGGCAGTGGAGATGGAGAGAAATAGACTAGCCAGAGTGATCTCAGGGAGATTCGATCACTCAGACCTGGTGATGGGGTGTGTACTGAGGACAGGCTTTAGCCATCTCTCAGGGTACAGTGCGAAGAGCTCCTAGGCCATCCTAAAGCCTCCCATTCCAAGCCCTTTCACGTCCAGAGAGAAGTAATTCTGCTCTCCTGGGAATCCTTCTACCCAGCTTAAAAATCTTCTGCCCACCCACACTTTCCTTCTTTTAATTTAACAATAGAACTCAAAGTACAAATAAAAATGTACCTCTTACAAAAAAACAAAACAAAACTATATAGATACAGAGGTGAATCACCAAGTTTTAACCAAGTTTAGACTATCCCATCTCTGTTCAGAAATCTAAGGAATTCATACCTCAGAAAGGAATTTCATAGACATATTTGGATGAACATCACCAACATTATACAGTCTAGAAAACTAAAGTACAGAATAGTTAAGTCTCACCAAGTTACCAAAAACACAAGTAAGAGTTGAACATAGGTTCTGCAATTCCTAATTCAGTTTTCTCACACTATCATTTTATTTAAGATATAGAATTGAAAAGCTAATCTATATATATAGATTATATATATATATATAATCTATATAAAGACTATCCCTAAGTTTTAGAAATCACATATTTCAAATGCATTAGGGGATAGTAATTCTACACATACCTACTTACTAGATAATAAATATAGAAAAACTTCAAATAATATAATCACGCCTAGGGAAAATGAAATAAGGCCATGGAAGGAAGGAATAAAAGGAGCTACGACTGACCCATATACATATGCAACTGGGTTTCAGTTCCTCAAAACATCAAAAGAACACATTAGAGAGGCACAGTCAAATTGCTCTTGAATTATAGTCATTGGATAAATCAATTTATGTACAAATAGCACTACATACATCATCTGTTTATCTTAGATCTTTTGAGAAAAGGCTCTCATATCTCTTTTCAAAATTTATTTTAATTTCCTTTAAGAAAACTAAGGAAAAGCAAAGATGAAAAGATCAGTTAACTGGAAAACCTAATTATGAACTACATTAAAAAGTTATCAAGTCACTTTATCGAATAAAGAAGGATAAATTTGTATGAACTATAAGCTTTCATCTTTAACTCCAAATTTAAAATAAATAAATAAATAAACAGGGTATGGAGAGATCAACTGTATCTCTAAGCAGCCAAAGAAGCAGAAGATGAGGAGACACTCCCCTTCATTCTCTTAAGCCTTGCACAGAGACTGCTGGCTTAGGTAAGCTGGTGTTACACTACAGAGTCCCGGCCTTGGACGTGCTGGAATAATCCAGTCCCACATGTTCCTGATGGAAAATAACCAGAGATGGTCTTTTTCTGATGGGTGCCCTATGATTCAGGGGAAAAAAGTCTATAGCTCCAAACTTTAACTGCCAAACAATATACCAAATGAGAAATACTCTGCAAAAAAAGGAAAAGGAAAAGAAAAATAAAATACTCCGAATTAGTTTGTAACCAAAGTGATAGAGACAATAAAAGCTAGATGTCTTATTCAACACTGATATAAAATGTCTATCAATATATGTTAACACCTATTATTCACTTACTAAGTGAGTTGGAAAGATCCTGTAAAGAATTTAAAACTGTACCAGCACCTCATGCTCTCTCTCTCTCTCAAAACAAAGAAAAAGTTACGAGATCAAGCCCTGTATCAGGCTCCATGCTGAGAGTGGAGTCTGCTTGAGATTCTCTCTCTCCCTCTTCCTCTGCCCTTCCCCTCGCTCTCTCTTTCTCAAATAAAAAGTAAAATAAAATAACAACTATATCAGCACAAAAACTCACAGATGAGAGATCAAAGCCACGGTGATGACAGAAGGAAATTTTTAGGGCTGATACTGGTAGAAAATGGTCTGATTTATAAAGGAAGAAGACTTATATACTTAAAATACCTCGTGTGAAAACATGTACAAATAACTTCAATTTCAGCGTGTTTATTTTGGCAAATTACTGGGAATCACCATAAAGAAGCGGCTGCATAAATCACGCACACCCGAGTGGGGGCACTGGAAAGCCGTCATGTGTGTCACACGACACACGGCTGATCTTCACATGCTGGAGAAGCGGCTCCCGAGTATAGCAAGAGACATGAAGCAAGATGCAGGACAGTACGGCATATGGGACGAGAAGACAGTGTATTTTTAGGTAAAGAATAGTATGCAAAATAATTTTTAAAAATACCTTGCGGTATCTTCTTCATTGGGCCTCTTTTGGTTCTTGGGCTTCTTTTTCCAGGTGCTTTTTTGTCCTTTCCCACGAGGGCCTGCCCATCCCTGGGGCTTTCCCCAGGAGCGTTCTCCGAGCTCTCGAACGCAGCCACCTCATTGCTGGGGGGGCAGTTGTCGTTATTGTTGAGACTGTCCTGGGCGAGCACGTCAGGTCTGCCCATGGCGCTGGCAGCACTGCTCAGACGCTCCTGCCCGTCCCCATCCAGTTGATTTTCATTTTCATCCGATGCAGAAGGCAAGCGTGTCACTATGCTTCCCCTGCCGTCACCAGGATGATACCCATCTTGTGACTCTATCTGCAGATTATCTGTAGGCGTTCCGCTGTCATCCATCAGAGCATCTTCTGTGGGACCATTTACATTTCAGTCAAGTCCTTCCATGTCTACAAAGACAGAAAGAAAAAAGCTACTTCACCTCTGGATCCTCGGTGATCTTTAGATTTCCTTTTCTCTTGGGTTGTCTTACTGTAATTAGGGAAAGGATGGAAATGACTGATGCTCATTCCTTCTATTTCTTCCCCACTCACAAGCCCACCCAACCTCACCGGGTTCTGGCTTGAATACAACGGTGCTCAACCCTCGCTGTGTGTTTATTACCTGGAGAGCCTGTCCAGCACAGAGCCCTGCTACCTGTTTTTTTTTTTAAGTTCTTTAAGTTATTTTACTGTGTACCATGGAACCATGGCCTTAATGAAAGAAATTACTCATTAATCAGGCTATCTGGTAAAATCAACCACTCTTTTTATTGCTGGACACTTACCAGACAAATGAAAGTTGTATAAGTCCTTTGGCTGAACAGCAGCAATATTTGCAAACAAACACATTTACAGACATTTTAAAAATAAATGGAAAGATAGGCGCCTGGGTGGCTCAGCTGGTTAAGCAACTGCCTTCAGCTCAGGTCATGATCCTGGAGTCCCGGGATCAAGTCCCGCATCGGGCTCCCAGCTCCATGGGGAATCTGCTTCTCCCTCTGACCTTCTCCCCTCTCATACTCTCTCTTTCATCCTCTCAATCTCTCTCCCTCTATCTCTCAAATAAATAAATAAAATCTTTAAAAGAAATAAATGGAAAGAAGGCATGTGGAAAATTCAGGTAGTAAATGGTAATATTCTATTCTCATTATATCATTTACTTCCTAAAAATAAACCCTGGAAAGTACCTTAGAATTGTCAGCAAATTCTTTTTATAAAATTAAAAAAAAAACAACAACAACAGGGCCATGATTAACTCTATACACTAGTTTAGACTTGGAAAATCTAAATCTGCTCCAAGGATCCTTCTAACATAATAAAAATAGAGAAAATAGATTCTAAGCCTTTTATCAGACATGTTTTGTCCCCTCTTATCATCCAAAAGTATATTACTTTTAAGGGAAATGATGTCAGCAAGATCTTGAAATTTTCTGTTTGCCAATTATAATTTGGGGTTTGAATCAAACATACTATTTCAGTAATCTGAGAAAAATTTTAGTGACTTTCTAAATTCTTCAAATTAATAGAAATGCTTATTTGGTGTTTAGAAACATGTAAATAAAGTATAATTCTTTTAAAACATGAAAACGAAGTACAAAATAAAACATTAGCTCTGCACTGGTTGTATCATATGTTTTTAACGTATTTTACAACTGGAATATTTTATTTGATTCAGACCTAAATGTACTGGTTGGCAGCCTGGGTGGCTCAGTCGTTTAAGCATCTGCCTTCAGCTCAGGTCAGGATACCAGGGTCCTAGGCTCTAGCCCCACATCAGACTCCCTGCTTGGCAGGAAGCCTGCTTCTCCCTTTTCCCTCTCCCACTCCCCATGCTTATGTTCCCTGTCTTGCTGTGTCTCTCCCTGTCAAATAAATAAGTAAAATCTTAAAAAAAAAAAAAGTACTGGTTGGCAAACATAAAAATATCTAAATTTGGATGGCATCAAATTCCTTTTACCACATATATATATTAACTTGGGTTTAGCCCTAATATAAAATCTAAATAGAATATAATTTTTAATTTAAAAAGTTATTATTTTAATGAAGGGTTTTTGAGATTACTATCACGAGAGAACACAAGCTCACATGACTTATAAAATGTATGCAGCTAAAATAGACAAAGATCAATAGAACAGGATAGGGAGCCCAGAAACAAACCCACAGTGATATGGTCAATTGATCTATGACAAAGGAGGCCAGAATATACAGTGTGGAGAAGGCAACCTCTTCAATAAGCAGTGGGGAAAACCAGTCACATATTAAAGAAACTACACCACTTTCTCATATCAAATATACAGAAAAATAAACTCTAAGTGGATTAAAAAGACCTCAATGTGAGACCTTAAAGCATAAAACTCCTAGAAGAAAACATCACCAGTGTATTCTTGGACACTGGCCTTAGCATCACCTTTCTAGATATATCTCCACAGATGAGGGAAACAAAAGCAAAATAAACTGTTGGGTCTACATCAAAATAAAAAGCTTTTGCAAGTGAAGGAAGCCAACTAAATAACATGGCAACCTACAGAATAGGAGAGGATATCAGCAGATGCTATACCCAATAAGGGATTAGTATCCAAAATATATAGAGAACTTACACAACTCAAGACCCAAACCCCCAAAAATTTGATTTAAAAATGGGCAGAGTACCCGAATAGACATTCTGCCAAAAACAAACAAAACAAAAAACAAAAATCACACAGATGGCCAACAAAACATGAAAGGATGCTCAATCTCACTCATCATCAGGGGATGCAAATCAAAACCACAATGAGATATCACTTCACACCAGTCAGAATGTCTAGGATCAGAGAGACAAGAAGTAACAAGTGTTAGCAAGAATGTGGAGGAAAGGGGAGCCCTTGTGCATTGCTGGTGGGAATGCAAACTGGTACAGCCACTCTGGAAAACAGTATGGAGGTTCCTCCAAAAATTAAAAACAAAAATACCAGATGATCTAGCAATTCCACTGCTAAGTATTTACCTAAGAAAACAAAAACACTAACTTGAAAAGATAAATACACTGCCAATATCACAGCATTGTTTACAGTAGCCAAGTGTGGAAGCAACCTAAGAATCCACTGATCGACAAATGGATAAAGAGCATGTAGTAATATATACATGTAATAATACTTAGCCACTAAAAAGAATGAAATCTTCCATTAGGGACAGCATGGGTGGACAGAGTATCATGCTAAGTACAATGAGTCAGAGAAAGATCAACATATGATTTGACTTATACGTGGAGTCTAAAAACCAAACCAACCAACCAATCAGCAACAACAAAAAACCAGAATCATAAATACGGAGAACAAATTGTTGGTTGCTGGAAGGGAGGGTTTGGGGGTAGGGGTGAAAATGGTACAGGTGATTAAGAGGTGCAAACTTTCAGTTTAAATGACTGACAGGGATGAAAAGTGCAGCGTATGGAATATAGTGAATAATATTGTAAAAACCTTGTGGTGACAGATGGTAATTACAGTCCAGCAATAACAAATAGAACTGTAGACCATTACATTGTATACATGAAACTAATGTAACATTTTATGTCAACTATACTTCAATAAATCAATAACCAAGTAAACAAATAAAGAGCATATAGCTAATATGGTGGAAACTACACAAATGTCCACTAACAGATGAGTAGATAAACAAATGCAGTATATTCATACCAGGGAAGCTCGGGAAGTTCAGGAAGGAAGTTCTGATACATGCAAAAAATACGGAAGAACCTTGGCAGCATCATAGGTAGTGAAATTAGCCTGACACAAGAGGATGAAAACAGTATGATTCCACTTGCACAAAATTTCAATAGGCAGATTCATGGAGACAGAAAACAGACCGGAGGGGCAGAGGGCAGGAGATAAAAGGAAGTTCCTGCGTAATGGTTGCATTGTTTTTTGCTCAGGGTGATGGAAAAGGTTTGGAAATGCAGTGGTGATGGGTACACAGCAGCATTGGTGTCAGTAATACCACCGCATCATACAGTGAAAAACAGTTAAAATGGCATATGGTATGTATTCTTGATCACAGCAGTGAAAAGAAATTGATGTGGCTATGCAGGGAAAAAGTCAGTCTTAAAACTAGGAACAGCCTCGGCTGTCTTTTATGAACAATCAAGTTATATTCTTTTTATTTTTTTTAACATTTTATTCATTTATTTGAGAGTGTGTGTGCACATGTGCACATGCACTATGAGGGGAGGGGCAGAGGGAGAGGGAGAAGGAGAAGGGAGAGGGAGAAGAAGAAGCAGGTCCCCTGCTAAGCAGGTTCCCTGCTGAGCAGGGAGCCTGATGTGGGGCTCCATCCCAGGACCCTGGGATCATAACCTGAGCTGAAGACAGATGCTTAACCTACTGAGCCACCCAGGCATCCTTATTCAAGTTATATGCTGACATGCATCTGAAAGTACGAAGTGTACCTGAGAGATACACGGGTCACATGCCACGGAGGAAGTGGGAGGCAGAGAGCCCCAAACAATTACACTTCACTCTTGCTGAATCTTCATTGCGCAGTAGGAACTGTGACAGGCACTTCACATATCTCATATCTAACCCTCCAAGCAAGCCCTACATGGGAGGTACCCACACTGTGTTTCAGATGGAGAATCTCAGGCTTGGAGAGGCAAAAATACCTTGTTTAGGCTCATCTTTCTGGGAGGAAATGGAATTGGGTCTGAAACCAGGTCCCCTCTCCTTTGACTCCTGGGCAGCACAGCATAGAGGCTGAGAACCCAGGCTAACAAGGCTCGGATTCTGGCGCTGTCATCTAACAAACGATGTGTGCAACCTTAGGGCAAGCTGCCTACATCTCCAAGCTTCTGTTTTCTCATCTGTAAGTGGAGAACTAATGCACCCACCTCGAAAAGTCATTTGTGAGGCTCAGACAACATGGCAGGTGACACACTTGGGAGAGTGCTTGGCCTATACTGAATGCTCGGTGAAAGTCAGCCACCACTGCTTCCTAAGAAACTTCACTGGTTGGTATTAAGCACCAGTAGGTTTTTTCGAGTAGGTCCAGAGCCTTACTGCAGTCTCAGAAACAGAGCATTTCCAGATTTCCCAGAAATGTTAGGTTCCTGATAATAAACTAATGTTAACCAGCATCGTTTGAAAATGCTGAAATTTAATTAATTTATAATGGGGGATATTTCATTTGGTTACTAGAATGCTTAAGCATCTGTTCTGGGTATCCTGTTTCAGATGATTAAGATACCTACAAACTAGTAATTAAGGCTTCTTGGTGAGTATAAAATTACAAATCACATTTCACAGTTTTGTTGAGTGTCATGTACCAGGCTCTGTGTTAGACTTTTCAGACCAAAGCTCTTACTGAATTTTCATAATTACCCTAGGCAGATAGGCAATTTTTAGTCCCATCATACTAACAAAGAAACCAAGTTTCCTATC